GTTGTTGACTGTAGACCCAAGTAAAATTAAACCCTTCCCAACTTCAATCTTTTCTCCTTTTATCATGATACTGCTTTTTGGGCCAGTTGTGAGGATTTTTATTTTCATTATGTTGAGTTGTAGTCTTTGGAAATACTTCAAGTGCTCTTCATTCTCAGCAAGCAAAGTTGTTACATCTGCATATCATAGGTTATAAATGAGTCTTCCTCCAGTACTGATGCTGCATTCTTCTACATATAGCTGAGCTTCTTGGATGACTTACGCAGCATTTAAATTGAAAAAGTATGGTGAAAGATACAAGCCAAACACACACATTTCCTGACTTAAAACCTTGCAGTATCCTCTTGTTCTGTTCAAATGACTACCTCTTGATCTATGTACAGGTTCATCATGAGCACTTTTTAGTATTCTGGAATATCCATTCTTCACAATGTTATCTGTAATTTGTTAGGTCCACACAGTCCAATGTTTTATAGTCAATAAAACACAAGTAAACATCCTTCTGGTATTCTTTTATTTCAGCCAAGATCCATCTGAAATCAGAAATTATATGCCTCATTCCATGTCCTCTTCTCAATCTAGGACAAATTCTGGCAGATATATATATATATATATATATATGCTGCAAGCAGTTTTGAATTATTTTCAGCAAAATTTTACTTATGTGTGATATTAAAGATATTGTTTGATAATTCACACATTATTTTGAATCACATTTCTTTAGAATGGGCACAAATATGAATCTCTTCCTGTAAACTGGCCAAGTAGATATCTTCCAAATTTCTTGACATAAATGTGCAAACACTTTCAACATTTTATCCACTTGTTGAAATATCTCAATTGGTATTCTGTCCATTGCTAAACTGAAAAAAAAAAAAAAAACCTCAATACCATTTAGTTAATTCTAACTCATAGCAACCCCCTTGACTTTCTAAGGCAGTAAATCTTTACAGAAGTAGATTGCCCCATATTCCTTCCTTGGAGTGGCTGGTGTGTTTGCACCACCAATCTTCTGGTCAGTAGTCAAATGCCTTAGACACTGTACCACCAGAGCTGCTTCGGTCAATTGCTGGGGACTTGTTTTTCGCCAATGCCTTCAGTTCAACTTCTAATTCTTCCTCAATACCATTGATTCTTGATAATATGCTATCTCCTGAAGTAGTTGAAGTAGACCAGTTTGTTTGTTTGTTTGTTTTGGTACAGTGACTCTGTGTATCCCTTTCATCTTCTTTTGATGCTTCTTATGTCATTCAATATTTTGCCCACAGAATACTTCAATATTGTAACTCAAGGCTTGAATTTTTTCTTCAGTTCATTCAGCTTCAGAAACACTGATCGTGTTCTTCCCTTTTGATCATCTATGCCAGGTCTTTGTATATTTCATTACAATACTTTACTTTGTCTTCTCAAGCTGCCCTTTGAAATCTTCTGTTCAGTTCTTTTATCATTTCTTCCATTTATGTTAGCTACTCTCTATTTAAGAGCAAGTTTCAGAGTTGCTCCTGACATCCATTTAGATGTTTTTTTTCCTTTCCTATCTTTCTAAGGACCTTTTCTTTTCTTCATGTATGATGCCCTTAATGTCTTCTCACAATTCATCTGGTCTTCAGTCACTGGTGTTCAACACATCAAATCTATTCTTCAAATTCTATTCTCTAAATTCAGGTAAGATATCTTCAAGAAGGTCCTACTTTGATTCTCATGTATTTGTTTTAATTTTCTTTAGCTTCAGCTTGCACTTGCATATCAACAATTGATGGTCTATTCCACATTCAGGCCCTGGCCTTGTTCTTACTGATGATATTGAGGCATTATCTCTTCTGATAGATGTAGTGGATTTGATTCCTGTATATTCCTTCCAGCAAGTTCTATTTAGATAGTTGTCATTTATGTTGTTGAAGAATGGTATTAGCAATGAATAAGTCATTGCTCTTGCAAAATTCTGGCATCATTTATCACCAAGGCCATATTTTCCAACTACCTATGCTTCTTCATGTTATCTAACTTTTGCATTCCAATAACCAAAAATTGTCAGTTCATCTTCATTGCAAGTTTGATCAGCTTCAGACTGCAGAAGTTGATAAAAATCTTCAATTTCTTCATCATTGGTTTTCCTTGTTGGTGCATAGATTTGAATAAATAATAGTAGCACTAACTGATCTTCCTTGTGGGGAAATGTATATCATCCTGTCACTGACAGCATTGTACTTCAGGATAGATCTTTAAATATTCTTTATAATTACATAATATGTTTTAAATTATGCATGTTATACATACATATATATATATATATATATACACATACAGGAGCTCTGGTGGAGTAGTGTCTAAGGCATTTGACTGCTAACCAGAAGGCTAGAGGTTCAAACCTACCAGCCACTCATTGGAAAGAAGATGGGGCAATCTACTTCTGTAGTGATACTGTCTTAGAAACCCCAGGAGAGGTCACAATGAGTCAGATCCTACATGACAGCAGTGGGTTTGGTTTGTTTGAGATATATATATATATATATATATATATATATATATATTCATACACACACACACACACACATACATACAGGAGGAGTTCTGGTGTCATAATGCCTAAGGCATTACTGCTAACCAGAGGGTGGGTGGTTCAAACTGTGGAAGGAAAATGGGGCAATACACTTCCATTAAGATTTACTGCCTCAAGATCCTGGATAGAGTGGAAGAACAACGTGGAACAAAACTCAAAATCATACAAAAAAAGGGGGGGGGGGACCAGGTTTCCTGGTCTGATAGAGCCTGATGAAACCACTGAGACTATGGCCCCTAGCTGCCCTTCAGGTCTGGAATTGAACCCACTCCTGTTGCTTCCAGCCAAACAAAAGACAGGCATATGAGCTTAACATTTACATTAGGTAGACATACTCCTTGGACAGATCAATCATGGGAGAATAGAAGGGCTGTGTATGCACAAGGAGACAGCTCAGGGGCCAGGACTTCATGGAAGGGAAGGACACAAGGAAGAGGTGGCTATGGGGAGGAAGTGGTAGGAGAGCTGTTGCATTGTGGGAGATTACAGTCAATGTCATGTGACAAAGTATATGTGATTGCTGTATGGAAAATGAATTTGCTCTGTAAACTTTCACCCAAATCACAATAAAATTTAAAAAAAAAAAAATTACTGCCTCAGAAACCCAACAGGGGTTGCTATGAGTCAGAATTGACTCCATGGCAGTGAGTTTGGAGTTTTTATATATGTATGTATATATATATATATACACATACATATACGGGAGCTCTGGTAGTATAGTGGCTAAGGCACTTGACTGCTAAGCAGAAGGCTGGCGATTCAAACCCACCAGCCACTCCTCGGAAGGAAGATGGGGCAATCTACTTCCGTAGTGATACTACCTTGGAAACCCAAGGAGGGGTCACTATGAGTCAGGTCCAACTCCATGGCAAACAACAACATATACACATACCTAAGGAGCTCTGGTGGGGTAGTAGGAGCTCTGGTGGCATAGTGCCTAAGTCATTTGACTGCTAGCCAGAAGGCTGACAGTTCAAACCCACCAGCCACTGGAAGGAAGACTGGGCAATCCACTTCTGTAAAGATTTATTGCCCCAGAAACCCAAAGGAGGTCACTATGGGTAGGAATTCACTCGATGGCAGTGATTTTGGCTTTTGTATATATATATATATATGTGTGTGTGTGTGTGTGTGTGTGTGTGTGTTTTCCTTTTGACATTCTACTATTTATTTTCTAGAATGGCCAGAAAAGGAACATTTGGAAAAAGTTTTATAACAAATTATTTGGAAATCTGAGTCTAAGAAATTAAGTAGTATGTAGATTTTTAAGGAGAAGACCATGGGATGCAACACAACATTCTGCATTTGCAGTTTAGGAAGTGGAGACCCAGGCAACTTTAGTGACATGTTGACATGCACCTGGTTTGCCAGGAACTAGAAATCAAGCTTTAAACTCCTGGCTCAATGCCTGTCTCACAGTGAAAACAAAAAATGAGCAAAACACAGCAAGAACAGTAACAAGTATTTACTGAAATAAAGAGAACAGAATCATCAATTTTCTATAGCAAAAATTATCATATTTGGAATATACTTACTCTGTGCCCACATCCACCTTCATTTCTATCCCCACTCCCCTGTTTCACTTTTTTGGATAAGTTCTACTCATTCTTCCAATCTCCACTCTCCATTAGTATTTAACTCCTCCAGGAAGATTCTCTGACCACCGGTCTTGGTGAGGTTCCCCAGTACCGTTCACAGTATGTTGTAAATTACTTCTTTGATTCTTTCATATGTATACATGAAAACAGAACTACATCTGCATTGTTCATCATTATATTCAAGAGCACATATTTTAAGCTGAATCAAATCAAGTTGAATCAATCAAACACATTACAGTATTAACATGCAGAGGAGTTACATAAAAAAATCGTTGCTTGTAATGGGATGCAGCAGGGAAAAAAATGCACCTAAGACTTTTTTGTCACCTTAGAAAGTGGCAGTAGCTTGAGATGATTTTTTGAAGGGGTCGCTATGAGTCAGGGCCAACTCGATGGCACATAACAGCAACAGTGTGATTTCAATTGGCAAAAGGAAGGAAGGAGAAAATCTCTCTAGTAGAAAGTATTAGTGTCAGCAAAGAAACATTGGGGCTAGAGAAAACATGAAATTTCAGAATCTACAATTTGTGAAATAGGCTGGTTGGAAATGATGGCTTTGTAGAAGAGCCCTATATTTGGCTTCAGTAAGCCAAGTGTTCTGCATCAAGAGAACTCTCATACTCTCTTTTCAAAAGTGTGGGAACAAGGAGGACAGACACGATACAATAATGAAAGTAGCATTGTTCTTCTTTATAAATAAGGGATAGAACTAAAGGAAGAGAGATTGTTTTATATGTGGAAATGAACTCTTCCAAATCTGAAACTCTGGCTATCTATATGTGAAATTAAGAACATCTCTTCTTCCCTTAAACAATGTAATGATTTCTGTATTGTTTGTGCAGATATTAATGAATGCAAAGATCTACTAGAGCCTCCCTGCCATCCCTCTGCTGAATGCAAGAACACCAAGGGCAGCTTCCAGTGTCTCTGTACTGACCCTTATGTACTAGGAGAGGATGAAAGAACCTGTATATGTAAGATCACACATCCCTTCTACGTCAGAGACTAATTTTTCTTAAAGTAAATAAATAATACATTAATATAGTTGACTATCAATTGCCACCTGATTTGGGGTGGAGGTGCTGCAGGGGAAAAGATAATGTATAAGTTATTTCAAAATAATTGATGACTGAGGAGTTATCTTTATTGTTGCATTCTAAGTAGACATGCAGTTAAGCTTATCAACTATGCTAACAAAAATTCTTACAATTGGAGTAATAAATACATTGTGATAAATGGAGAAAAGATTGAAGTTGTCAAGGATTTCATTTTACTTGGATCCACAGTCAATGACCATGAAAATAGCAGTCAAAGAATCAAATGATATATTGTTTTGGGCAAAGAAGTCTTCTGCAAAACACCTCTTAAAAGAACTAAAAAACAAATACGTCACTTTGAGGACTAAGATGTGGCTGACCCAAGCCATGGTATGTTCATTCCCCTACATACATAAGATCATTGGACAATGAACAAGGAAGAATGAAGAAAAATTGAATCGATGCATTTGCATTATGGTGTTGGCACAGAATATTGAATATATCATGAACTGGCAGAAGAGAAGAATGAACAAATCTATCTTGGAAAGTGTACAGCCAGAATGTTCCTTAGAAGGGAGGATGGCAAGACTTCATCTCACTTACTTTGGCCATATTAGGCTGGGCTCTCTTGTTGTTGTTGTTGTTGTTATGTGCCGTCGAGTCAGCCCTGACTCATAGCGACCCCTCCTTGGGTTTCCGAGGCAGTATCACTACGGAAGTAGGATTGCCCAACCTTCCTTCCGAGGAGTGGCTGGTGGGTTTGAACCACCAGCCTTCTGGTTAGCAGTCAAGTGCCTTAGCCACCAGGAAAGCTTAGAGAGAGAATGAGAGACAGAAATTTATCTTAGAAAATGGCTCACACACTTATAGAAGCTGGCAAGTCCCAAGTTCTTGGATCAAACATCAAGCTGCAGGCTTTTGCTGGCTCACATTGATCACTGAAAGCATTTTCTGATGCTGGGTCATAGTGGGAAACCAACTGGAAGAGTATTTTTACAGAAAAAGCCCACAAAGTGCATATCTAAGCCTGGATTGTGTTGGACAACACAAAATTGTGAAATACTCAAAACTGAAGAGATTCATAAAGGCTTGAGAATATTTTGTTGAGTAAAATAAGTCATTCTCAAAATAACTAATGCTATATGAGCTCACATATATGAAATAACAATACACAGATGTATTCATAAAGTATTCAGCGGCCAGTTCTTTCAGAAGTGATGGCCCTGTCCTTCTTCCCAGTCTGTCTTAGTCTGGAAGCTACTCAGCAGCAGGGGCTTACAAGCTCATGGTTGGCAGGCAGTATACTGGCTGTCAACTCCAACAAATGACGAGTCCAAGATCACCAGGCCGAATGGTGGATTGTTCACTCATGGACAGTTGTAGGCAGCACAACAGGATTCCAATCCACAGAAGAGTGTCTCCTTTTCCCAAGATGTCAATAAATATATTGGGAGCAGGCCACACTCTTAGGGAAACTCCCTTTCAATGGATAGGCTGTTCAAAACACATACATCTGAAAAATATAAAAGTGTACTTGAAACATTAAAAAAAAAAAAAAAACATATATCTGATCTCATGATCTCATCATGGGAATAACCCACATCACAACTGCTTAAACCACTCAGAATTGTGGTCCAATCAAGTTGACTCACAACCCCAACTTTCACAGCCATGTTATTAAGAGGGACGAGTCCCTGGAGAAGGACATCATGCTTCATAAAGTAGAGGCTCAGCAAAAAAAGAAGGGAACTCTCAATGAATCAGACCCAAATCAAGGATACAAAACAACAACAACAATACTAACATTGATCACTGTAAGCATTTTCTGATGCTGGGTAGTAGTGAGAAACCAACTGGAAGAATATTTTTACAGATAAAGCCCACAAAGTGCATACCTAAGCCTGGATTGTGTTGGACAACACAAAATTGTTGTGAAATACTCAAAACTGAAGAGATGCATAAAGACTTGAGAATATTTTGTTGAATGAGATAAGTCATTCTCAAAAAAACTAATGTTATATGAGTTTACATACATGAAATAACAATACACAAATGTATTCATAAAGTATTCAGTGGCCAGTTCTTTCAGAAGTGATGGTGCTGTTCTTCCCAGTCTGTCTTATTCTGGAAGCTGCACTGAACCTTGTCCACCACAGGTAACCGTGCTGATATTCAAAATACTGGTGGTATAGCCTCCAGCCTCACAGCAACTTGCAAGTCACCACAGTACAACAAACTGACAGATCAGTGGTGGAGACAAGTGTATGGAGACCAGATTTTATTAGTGCTTACTGGGAGTGCGCAAGATAAGGGAACAGGAGTCATTGTTTAGAATGCAGTGAGTTTCTGATCTGGGTCATGAAAAATTCAGCAGTAACTAAGAGTGATGTTGTAATAACTATTGTTGTTGTTGGGTGCCGTCAAGTTGTCTCCGACTCATAGTGAGCCTAAATATAACAGAACAAAACACTGCCTGGTTTTGCACCAGCTGCACAATCTTTGCTATACATGAGTCCATCATTGTAGCCATTGTGTGTCTATTCTGGTTACCTAGCACCACTTTGACAAGAAAAAAACACAAATGGGATGGCTTGAACAAACAGGAGTTTATTCTCTTACAGTTCAGGAGGCGAGAAGTCCAAGTTCAAAGTGCCAGGCTCCAAGGGCTAGGTGAAAGCCCTTTGACCTTGGGCTTCAGCTCTGCCTCTTGCTCCTGGCCCACTGAAGTCAGAGGCATCTGTTCTCTCAAGCAGCTACTGGCTGCTGAGGCTGACAAGCCCAAGGTCAACAAATAAAATGGCACAGTCCCGATGTTACCAAACCACATGGCAGGCCATTAACTCAAGTCTACTGAAAGTCCCAAGAGCAACAGAGCACGGCAGGCTGCTGAACAATGACACAGCTACAGGCAGGGTTCAAGCGTACCATAAGCTAGAGACTATCTCCAAGGCTTCTCCTTATATACAGGAAGCAGACCACATCCCAAAGGCAGCTACTCAGCTGCTTATGGTAGATCCCTCCACAGAGTTGATTGCCAGTCTCATCATGGGGAATAACTACCTCCAGCTGCCCAGCCATTCAACCAGGCCCAACCAAGTTGACATACAAACTGCACTACCACAAGGCCTTACTCGTTTTTGTTGACCCTCCAATTTACCAGGCATGATATCTTTCTCCAGAGAATGGTACCTTGTGACAACATGACCGAAGTAGCCAAGATGAGGTCTGACCATTCTTGCTTCCAAGGAGCATTCCAGCTGCACTTCTTCCAGAACAGATTTGTTAGTTCCTTTAGCATTCCATGGTACTTTCAGCATTCTTTATGAACACCACAACTCAAAAGCATTGACCTTTCTTTGGTCTTCCTTATTCATTGTCCATCTTTCACATGCATATCAGGCAATTGAAAATACCATGGCTTGCATCAGGGGCACAGTAGTCTTCAAGGAGACATCTTTCCTCTTTAGCACTTGAAAGAGATCTTTTGGCAGCAGAGTTGCCCAATGCTTTATGTCATGTAATATCTTTACTGCTGCTTACAATGGTGTTGATTGTAGAAGCAACTAATATGAAGTCTTTGCCACTCCTCAAAAGGAAGAATGGGCAATCTACTTCCACAGTGATGCTGCCTCAGAAACCCAAGGAGGGGACACTATGAGTCGGATCCGACTTGATGGCAGTGAGTGAGTTGACAACTTCAATTTTTTCTCCATTTATCATGATGCTGCTTATTGGTCCACTGGTGAAGATATTCTTTTTCTTTATATTGAGTTGTGATTCATATTGCAGATTGTATTCTTCAATCAGTAAGTGCTTCAAGTCATCCTCATTTTCAGCAAGCAATGATGGCTCATCAGCTTATTGCAGGTTAATGAGTCTCCCTCTAATCCTGATGCCACGTTCTTCACTTAGTCCAGCTTCTCAGATTATCTGCTCAGGATACAGATTGAATAAGTATGGTGGAAGGACACAACCCTGACACAGTTCCTTCCTGATTTTAAGCCATGCAGTGTCCCCTTGTTCTGTTTGAATGATAGCCTCTTGGTCTAGGTACAGGTTCCTCATGAGTACAATTAAGGGTTCTGGAGTTTCCATTCTTCTCAATGTTATCCATAATTTGTTTTGATCCACACAATCAAGTGCTTTTGCATAGTCTGTAAAACACAAGTAAACATCTTCCTGGTATTCTTTGCTTTCACCCAAGATCCATCTTACATCACCAATGATATCTATACCTTATTCCACATCCTTTTCTGAATCCAGCTTGCATTTCTGGATGTTCCTTGTCAATATACTGCCACTACCATTTTTGAATTATTTTCAGTAAGATTCCACTTGCGTGTGATATTAATGATATTGTTCAATAATTTCCACATTCTGTGAGATCACCTTTCTTTGGAGTGGGTACAAATGTGGATTTCTTCCAATCAGTTGGCCAGGAAGCTGTCTTACAAATCTTTTGGCATAGCCACGTGAGTATCTCTAATGCGGCACCTGTTTGTTGAAACATCTCAATGGGTATTTCGTCAATTCCTGGAGCCTTGTTTTTCGCCACTTCCTTCAGTGCAGCTTCAACTTCTTCCTTCAATACCATTGGTTCTTGATCATAGACCACCTCCTGATATAGATGAACATTGACCAATTATTTTTGGTACAGTGACTCTGTGTATTCCTTCCATCTTCTTTAGATGGTTCCTGCGTCATTCAGCATTTTGCCCATAGAAACTTTCAATATTGCAGCACGAGGCTTAAATTTTTTCCTCAGTTCTTTCAGCTTGAGAAATGCCATGTGTGTTCCTCCCTTATAGTTTTCTAATTCCAGGTCTTTGCACATTTCATTATAATTGACTTTTTCTTCTTGAGCTGCTCTTTGAAACCTTCTGTTCAGCTCTTTTATCTTGTCATTTCTTCCATTTGCTTTAGCTATATGTCACTCA